ATATAAAATTACAAACTTCTACTAGATAGTTTTAGTTGCAGGCTGATCACAAAAACAGTCTTGGGTGTATTTGGTAGGTGGATGGGTATAGTATTATTTTCTCATTTATTTCTGTTTCCACAACCCCTTATTGAAAACCATTGGGACATCTGTGTTTCAGAATCCATATTTTTTGGGTGGGTTTATAAAGATAGCATGCAACATATGTAGTGCAGTAACATTAATATCTCGGGCTATTTGAGCCAGAATTGCAAAGTCAAATATATTTATAATTCTCTGGCAAAGCATATGAATAATCATAGTAAGTAGAACAAACAGGCTAAAAGTTGCCTGTGCCATTTCAGGTTATGCTGCTAAATGAAGAATGGAAAAACTTGTTTTCAGAGTTTTTCAGATATGAGTTTCTGGACCTAGATTGTGCAGATAATATATTGTGAACCTTTTATATTTTTGGAAATACCTACTTACCATGATTGCACTCTGACTCAGAAAAGTTCTAGATCCTGAACTAGTAGAATGATTAAAAGTTTTCCCAGCCAGATTCTTTGTTTTTCTGTGAGTCTTTTGCAACTATATAAAGGTAGAAGTGATGAGAATTTTCTTTTATATATGTAGCACTTGGCATCTTATTTAATATTAATACTACCAACCAGCCTAATAATTTGATAGTATTTCTTTTTTTGTCAGAAAAGTCATAGGTTGGGTAACTCGTCTACATTTACAAAGCTGTTAAGTGATAGAGTTGTGAATTTACAGTTGATGATAAAAGGCCATCTTATTCCTCACTATTTGCCAGTATTTTTTAAGCTTTCCTGGCTACCCCACTTTTTTTTACATAAAAAAAATTCCCTCTTTTAAAATTTATTTGACATTTCAAAATAGGTGATTTCCTTTCAAATGTGAAATTATGTATAGTACAATACTGAAAATAGTTTTTTAAATTGCAGTCCCAAAGATTGTAATATCCTCTTTATCCCACTTTTCTCATTGAGAATAACTGATTTATAACAGGACCAAGTCTTCACCCTGCCTAGACCGTGTCCTTTCTTCATGAACATTTGATGGTCAGCTCTACTGTAGCCTCCTGTCTTTTCTTCCTTTTCTCTCAGTTATTTAAGTCTTTTATTCATTTCAAAAGACTATGTTTGTAGGCAACATAGTTGTATTAAAAAATAAAATGATTGAACCAGCAAAGCTTACTTCAGTTCAGCAAATATATTAATTTTAGGATAAACATTTTTGGATCATTAGGTATTTTTGATACTGTGTCTTACCATACTCTTTTTTCCTGCCTTCCCTCATGATTTCAGTTTTTCTCTTTACTTTAGGCGAAGGCATGCAATCCACAGCAGTGACTCTACTTCATCTTCCTCTTCTGAAGATGAACAACACTTTGAGAGGCGGAGAAAAAGGAGCCGTAATAAAGCTATCAATAGGTAAGTATCATACTGATGTCTTTTTAAACTACCAGCTATCTTTTTTAAAAAGTGGTGAGAAAACAGAATAAATTGGGAATAGTTACAGTCTGGCTGATTAAAAAGTTGCACAACAGCTTATTGTATAAACTAGAGTACTGTCTTGTTAAAAATATCTACAGTTGAAACAAAATAACAGTTTGGAACATATGTTTATCATCTCTTGCCAAACTATTATATAGTCAAAATGGTGCTTGATGAACAGTGATTTGAAGAAATAACTAGTTTTTACTTTCTTATTGTGAAACTCTTAAGGAAAATAGAAGGCTTAATTCATTTCATAGCTCCTTGCAGTATAAGTCCACATATAATAACCAACTTACTTGATTTTCACAATAATTGTATGAAGGAGATAGAGCAAGAATTGTTCTCACTTTGCAAATGTAGGTGGGTGAATGAAAATGCAGTGCTTGGATTCTGGTAATAAAATATTTTTAGAGTAGAAATCATGCTTGACAGGCCAGGCTTGGTGGTTCAGGCCTGTAATCTTCCGGAGTTCAAGACCAGCCTGAACAAGAGAGAGACCCTATCTCTACTAAAAATAGAAAAAATTAGTTGAACACGGTGGTACACACCTGTAGTCCCAGCTACTCGGGAGGCTAAGGGAGGGAGGATCACTTGATCTTAGGAGTTTTAGGTTGCCATGAGCCAGGATGATGCCACAGCACTCTAGCCCAAGCAACAAAACAAGGCTGTCTCAAAAAGAAGAAATAATGCTTGACAAAGCAGTTGGAACGTAATAATTGAAGGAGCATGCAAACCAACCATTCTTTATATTCTAAGGTCTATTTTTTTATCATGTTAGGTCTTTGAGATACCTGTAAACTTTTATATAAAATTATTAAAATTCGTTTTTTTCTTTCCCAAACACCTATAGTAGAAGCAATATAATTAAAATTAATTTCATCTTTTTTCTTTAGTGTGGCTAATAGAAAATTTAAAATTATATTTGGGGTTTGAATTTTATGTCTATTGGACAGCAGCGGGTTAGAGCATCTAAAAGCTATATATACTGAGACTCCTTAGATTTTTCTTTGCCTTCATACATAAAAATGTGCATCTAATCTGTGTATTTTGTTTCATGCAGTTGTGTATTTTTTGAAGAATTATTTAAGAAATACCCTTTAGGAAGCAACAATTGAAAACTTGTCCATCCATCTTAGATTTCATAGTATAAATTCCTTGTGGAGTTTGGGACCAGCAAGTACTATCATTTAGGGTGAGCATTGTGTGGTGTTCAGTTGTAGCAATCATTCTTTGCTAAGGCATTCTGGTACAGATATCTTCCTCTAATGTAAGCTGTTTTCATTTTTCCATTTATAAAATGAGCAGGTTCTTCTAGGTATATATTCTTTGCAACCTACTATAACTATTTTTGAAAGTAGTTAGGGAATTTGCTTAAGAGAGTTGATGTGGATCCATTTTGCTGAGTTATATATATAATGCATTTTATATATATAAAATAGTTTGTGTGTGTGTGTGTGTTTATAGCAGAGTTGTTACAGATCTTGAAACAGACTGCTTGCATTTTATTCCTGGTCCTGCCATTTTACTAGTTGGGTGACTTTGGGGAAATCAGTTAACCTTTCTGTGCCTTGGTTTTCTATTAAAATAGGGAAAATAATAATACCTGCCTCATAAGACTGTTATGAGGATTTAATGGCTTAATACATGTAAAGCACCTAAAAGTAAAGCAGTGTCTGGCAAATGGTAAATTCTGTATATATGTTAGGCACAACTATTAGAATGTATATTGATGCTATCTGAATTCTCCATCATGAATTATTTTATGGTGCTTGTGGCATCTTGCTAACTTGATTTTTTTTTTGTTTGGAGACAAAATATCGCTCTGTTGCCTGGGCTAGAGTGCCGTGGCGTCAGACTAGCTCACAGCAACCTCAAACTCCTGGGCTTAAACAATCCTTCTGCCTCAGCCTCCCAAGTAGCTGGGACTATAGGCATGCGCCACTGTGCCCGGCTAATTTTTTCTATATATTTTTAGTTGTCCAGCTAATTTCTTTATTTTTTAGTAGAGATGGGGGGAAGGGATCTCGCTCTTGCTCAGGCTAGTCTTGAACTCCTGACCTCGAGCAATCCTCCCGCCTCGGCCTCCCAGAGTGCTATGATTACAGGCGTGAGCCACTGCGCCCGGCCGCTAACTTGATATTTTCATTTGATTGTGAATCTTTAATAATAAAGTGTCAGATACAAATATTTTTAACACTTAAATTGTGGGCATGTATAGAAAATGAGGAAATTGAAATACATGGATTGCTCCAGTTTAAATTTAAATTTTTTTTTTTTTAATTCTTAAGAAAAATGTTCATATTCTAATGTGGAGTTTGGGGAAGAGGATGAGTTGATAGGTGTATGTTTTGTTTTGCTATTTTAGTAGATTTGGGGGTGCAAGTTGAATTGTTACATATATTGTATTGCAGTGAAGTCTGGGCTTTTAGTGTATCCATCACTCAAATAGTGTACGTTGTACCCCACTGGTAATTTTTCATCCCTCACCCCTTCTCAACCTCCTGTCTTTTGAATCTCCAGTGTCCATTATACCACTTAATGGTTGATGAGCACATAGGTTTATTCCTTATCTTGGCAGTTGTGAATTGTGCTGGAATAAACATATGAGTGCAGGTTATCTTTTTGATATAATGATTTATTTGCCTTTGGGTACATACCCAGTGGTGGGATTGCAGGATTGAATGGTAGATGTATTTTCAGTTCTTTAGAAATCTCCACACTAATCTCCGTAGGGATGGTACTAATTCCCACCAACAGTGTATAAGTATTCCCTTTTTACTATGTCCACACTGACATCTATTGTTTTTTGACTGTTCATAATAGCTGTTCTAATTGCAGTAAGGTAATATCTCATTGTGGTTTTAATTTTGTATTTCTCTGATGATTAGTCAGGTTGAGCATTATTTTATGTTTGCTGGCCATTTGTATATCTTCTTTTTTTTTTTTTTTTTTTTTTAAAGGCTGGTCAAGTGAAGCAGTGGGAGTGGAAAAGGAACAAAGGAATCTGTAACTGGTTGTGATCAATTAGTTGTAAACGCCACTGCACTTGGACCAACCTATCCACTTTTTAATGAGGTTTTTTTCCCTTGCCGAGTTGAGTTCCTTGTAGATTCTGAATATTAGTCCTTTGTTGGACATATAGTTTGTGAATATTTTCTCCTGTTCTGTAGGTTGTCTATTTACTCTTTGATTATTTCTTTTGTTGTGCAGAAACTTTTTAGTTTAATTAAGTCCCATTTGTCTGTTTTTGTTTTTGTTGCATCTGCTTTTGTGGTCTTAGTCATAAATTCTTTGCTTAGGCCAATGTCCAGAAGAGTTTTTGCTAGATTTTCGTCTAAGATTTTTATAGTTTCAGGTCTGCCATTGAAGTCTTTAATCCATTTTGTGCTAATTTTTGTATATGATGAGAGATAGAGATCTAGTTTCATTCTTCTGCATATGGCTATTCAATCTTCCCAGGACCATTTATTGAATAGTATGTCCTTTCCTCGGTATATGTTTGTGTCTGCTTTGTCAAAGATCAGTTGGTTGTAGGTATGTGGTTTTATTTGTGGGTTCCCTGTTCTGTTCCGTTGATCTGTTCCATTATCTGTTATCTACTGTTACGACAAAACTATGCTGTTTTGGTTACTATAGCTTGGTAGTGTAATTTGAAATCAGGTAATGTGATGCCTCCAGTAAGGTTCTTTTTGCTTAGGGTTGCTTTGGCTCTTTGGGCTCTTTTTTGGTTCTATATGAGTTTTAAATTTGTGTTTTTGAATTCTGTGAAAAATGACATTGGTATTTTGATAGGAATTGCATTGACTCTGTAGATTGCTTTGGGGAATATGGCCATTTTGACAATATTGATTCTTCTGATCCATGAGCAGGGGATGTTCTTCCATTTGTTTGTGTCATCTATGATTTCTTTCATTGGTGATTTGTACCTTGCAGGGATCTTTCATCTCCTTGGTTATATTTATTCTTAGGGTTCAGTGGTTGGTGGGTTGTTTTTTTTTTTTTTGGTTTTTTTTTTTTGCTACTATTATAAATGAGATTGAGTTGTTGATTTTGTTCTCAGCTTGGTTGTTGGTGGTGTGTAGAAATGCTATTGACTTTTGTCTGTTGATTTTATAACCTGAGACTTGGCTGAATTCATTTATTAAATCTAGGAGTCTCTTAAAGGAGTCCTTAGGGTTTTCTAAGTTTAAGACCATACTATAAGCAAGCAAATAATTTGACTTTTTGAACACCCTTTATTTCTTTCTCTTGTCTGATTGTTCTGACTGTGACTTCCAGTAGTATGTTGAATAAAAGTGGTGAAAGTGGGCATCCTTGTCTTATTACAGTTCTTAGGGGGAATGCTTTCAACTTTTCCCCATTCAGTATGATATTGCCTGTGGGTTTGTCATACACGGCTTTTTTGTTATTTTCAGGTATGTTCCTTTTATGCCAAGTTTTTTGAGGGTTTTTATCATGGAGCGATGCTGGATTTTATTGAATGCTTTTTCTACATCTATTGAGATGATGATATGGTTTTTGTTTTTAATTCTCTTTATGTGGTGGATCACATTTCTTGGCTTGCATTTGTTGAACCATCCTTGCATCCCTGGGCTGAAAACCCACTTGATTGAATTATCCTTTTGATGTGCTGTTAGATTTAGTTTGCTAGTATTTTGCTGAGGACTTTTGTGCCTGTGTTCATCAGAGATACTGGTCTGTAGTCTTCTTATTTTGCTGCATTCTTCCGGTTTTGGTATCAGGATGATCCTGGCTTAGTAGAATGAATTAGGGAGGATTCCCTCCTCAATGCTTTGGACCAGTTTCAGTAGGATTAGTACCAGTTCTTTGTACTTGTGGTGAATCCATCTGATCGTGACCTTTTCTGTTGTTGGGAGATTCTTTTATTACTGATTCAGTTTCACTATTGGTTTATTCAGGAGCTCTATTTCTTCCTGGTTCAATTTCAGGAGGTTGTATGTTTTCAGGAATTCATCCATTTCCTCTAGGATTTCTAGTTTATGAGCATATACATATCAATGTCTGATCTTTTGTATTTCTGTGGTATCAGTTGTAATGCCTCCTTTTCCATTTCCGATTGTGTTTATTTGGATTGGGGTGTGTGTGTTTTTAATAGGTGTCTCCCACTAAATTTTCGAAAAGATGAATTAAAAGGCATTTATAAAGATAGAATGAAAATCGGAGCAAGCCTTGCTGATGTTGATCCAATGCAACTAGATTCTTCAGTGAGTACTCTTGTTTCAAAATTTATGCTTGAATTATAATATTTTTCTTTGTTTTAGTTTAGTTTTAAAGTTAAAACAGAAACCAATGATTTTTTTAAATCAGAAACTTAAATCTTTACAAACTTTTTTTTTAATCTTCAGATCACAGCTAAGATAACTTTTATTCAGTTGACTCGGTTAGGTTTAGGCATGGGGTAACAATTTTGACTCGAAATCTAACGATGTCAATGTTCACTTCCATTATCAGGTACGATTTGATAGTGTTGGTGGCCTGTCAAATCATATTGCAGCTCTAAAAGAAATGGTGGTATTTCCATTACTTTATCCAGAAGTGTTTGAAAAATTCAAAATTCAACCCCCAAGGTAATTTAATTATACTTTTAATTTTAGCCAAATCTGTGCTATACTACTATTGCTTCTTCTAGTTCTCATACTTTATTAATTCATTTTTAAACCCTAGTCCATGTTCACTTCCATTATCAGGTACGATTTGATAGTGTAGCTTATTTATATAATAGAAATACTATATAGTTTATTTTAATTTTTGAAATTTATTTTATTTCAATAGATTTAGAAGGACAAATGGTTTTCCCTTTTTGTTGTACAACTTTTCTCTCTGAATCAAGCAATATGGAAACAGCAATGCAAATAAACTTTTTAGCCAGGTGCAGTGACTCACATGTGTAATCGTAGTGCTTTGGGAAGCCAAGGTAGGACAATTATTTGAGGCCAGGACTTTAAGATTAACCTGGGCAACACAACAAGACTCCATCTCTCCAAAAAATAAAAAAATTTATCCAAGCATAGGTGATGTGTGCCTGTAGTCCTAACTACTCAAAAGTCTGAGGTGAGAGGATCTCTTGAGTCCAGGAGTTAAGGCTATGGTGAGCTATGATCACACCACTGCAGTCCAGCAAGACCCTGTCTCAAAAGCAAGCAAACAAATAAATAAATAAATCTTTAAAAATTAGTAAGCTTTTTTTCTTTTCCATTATAAAAGTTATGTACCATAAATCAATTACAGTTAAACACTGATGAATTTTAAGTTAAATTTTATAATTTTAAAAAGTCAGAAAGGTATTAATATTTTACAGGAAATGTTGTAAGTGCCTAGTTAAAGTAATTTAGTGAATTTAAAAAAAAATAGTAGGCCGGGTACGGTGGCTCATGCCTATAACTGTAGCACTTTTGGAGGCCCAGGTGGGAGTATTGCTTGAGACGAGGCGTTTATGACCAGCCTAAGCAAGAGCAAGACCTTGTCTCTACAAAAAATAGAAAAATTAACTGGGCATGGTAGCTCGTGTCTGTAGTCCCAGCTACTCAAGAGTCTGAGGCAGGAGGATCACTTGCACCCAGGAGTTTGAGATTGCAGTGAGCTATGATGACTCCACTGCACTCTAGTCTGGATAACAGTGAGACCGTGTCTCCAAAAAAAATAAATAAATAAAAGAAACGACATACTCCTCGAATTTTGTCTCTATATTTATTCTTCCTTAGAACATAAATTTTCCCCCATAAAAGTTGAATTATATGATTGTGATATAGGATTACATATGCAAATGTAAGATTATATAAGCATGATGAAAGAATAAAACATGTTTCAAATAAAGGGTTCTATTTACAGTTTAAATACTCATTTTACGGTATCAATATTAACTACAGTTTTAAGTTGTGCTTTCTAGCATGAAACTGTATAGTATTTCAGTTGTCTTGTTTTTTATTCACTAATTAAGTCAATTCATGAAATTGGTTTCTAATTTTTGTTTAAATAGTCTGCTTTTTACATGTAGTGTTAAAATATTTAATATATTATTTTACAGAGGTTGTTTGTTTTATGGTCCGCCTGGAACTGGAAAAACTCTAGTTGCTAGAGCACTTGCCAATGAGTGCAGTCAAGGAGATAAAAGAGTAGCATTTTTCATGAGGAAAGGTGCTGATTGTCTGAGTAAATGGGTAGGGGAATCTGAAAGACAGCTACGATTGCTATTTGATCAGGTATGATATTAAAATTTACCTATATAGATAGTTCTATAATCAATGCAGGTATAGGTTTGTAAGGGTTAGATAAATCTTACATTAATCACTTTTTATAGAAATAAACTCAGAAGAAGTGTACCAAATATGTAATCTTTCTAGATTATTATTTTCTTTTATATATCAAGATAATGCTGACTTACAGTGAACGGTTTTATGATAAGAAGCGAAAGCAATATTTGGATCTAAGTTCTTTGCAGTCGTAGGTCTCATACCTAGAGAGATTGGTAGTCTCATATTTAGAGAAATGGTAGTAGTGAATTATGTCTCAGTATGAGAGTTGAAGACTAGTTCTGCCCTAGAGTAACTTTCAGTTTCATGTCCCAGATTGTGTTGACAGCACATTGTGAGACCATATTAGGTTTTTAAGTATGAAATGTTTGATTTCCTGAAGTACTGTGACAGTTGCTATCTCTGACATTTCACTTCGACACTTCTTATTTTATTTTTATTGTAAAAGGTACATCCTCATTCTTTCAAACACACAGTTTTGCTTGTGATTATATTTGAAAAATTTTTTTAATTTTTGTGAAACCATGCATAAGTCAAAAACTCCTGTTTTTTTTTAATATGACTTCTGTCGTGGAGCCAGTGCAGCACAGACATCTCCAAATATCAACAAAGTGTTTGGGAGGGATGTGGCTGATGAATGCACAGTACGTCAATGGTTTGAAAAGTTTTGTTCTGATGATTTTAATCTTGAAAATGAGCCATGTGGGTGACCTGAGACCAAGGTGGATAATGATGAGTTGAAAGCTGTAGTGGAAGCAAATCCATCTCAACCTACACGTGAATTATCAGGTTTGATGTACTATTCCAACAATATTGGACCACTTGAAACAAATCAGCAAGGTAAAGAAGCTGAATAGAAGGGTACTGCATGAATTAAACCAGCATCAGAAGAGAAATCCTCTCTCGAACCTTGCCTTTCTTTGCTGTAATGACATAAAGTTGAACCATTTCTACCCCATATTGTTACACGTGATGAAAAATGGATTCTTTTTGACAATCGCAAGCATGCGGCACAATGGTTGGATAAAGACGAAGTGCCGAAACACAGTCCAAAACTGAATATTCATCAGAAAAAGCTAATGGTGTCTGTTTGGTGGTCCAGCACTGGCATTATCCACTGCAGCTTCATGAAACCTGGTCAGTGGATTACAGCGGATGTCTACTGCAACCAATTGGATGCAATGATGAGGATGCTTGTGATTAAGCAGCTGAGATTGGTCAATAGAGACAGGCCAATCCTCTTGCAAGACAACACTCAACCACGTATCACACAAACAATACTGCTCAAACTACAGCAGCTGGACTTGGAAACTCACTGTCGTCCATCGTATTCACCAGACCTTGCGCCAACTGACTATCACTTCTTCCATGCTTTGGATACCTTTTGGGATTTCATTGCCACTCACTCTCCAGGCCTCTTCACTACTGGCATAAACAAGCTACCATTGAGATGGCAAAACTGTATTGATAGTTTAGGTGCATACTTTGATTAATTTTAATGCTTCTTGTTTGAGATGTAATAAACTAAACTTTTGATTTGAAATCAAACATTTCATGTTTACTGAACTAATACATTATGATCTACTGAGACATAATTGCTGCAAATACTCTTCAATCTCTTTTTGGAATTCTTTGAGGTTTCTTTTTTTATTTTATCTTTACTGAAATAGATAAAAATTATGGCATCTTGCTAAATGTTTTCCCATCCTGACGTGGAGGAAGACTATGTCACTGTCTTCTATTCTTTATCTTGTTTCCACAGTTAGTGTTTAATAGATTTTTCTGTATGTGTGTCCTAGTAACTATAGCTATAATATAACCAGTGAAATATGTACTTGAATACTTCTAGTTGAAAATGCAAATAAAATTATACCGTTAGGTCATTACAATTTAGTATGAATTCTTAAGACCTAGTTCTTGGAACTTAAATTTATAAATTATAAATAGTCCTAAATAAATTCAGATAATCAAGTTTGAATGAAAATAGATGGAAATGGTATATAAACAGATTTAGAAATTATATTCTGATAAGCAAGTTTGAATTTTTGTAATAATGTACAACCACTGGACTTGCTTTCTAGGCCTATCAGATGCGCCCGTCAATTATTTTCTTTGATGAAATCGATGGTCTGGCTCCAGTACGGTCAAGCAGGCAAGATCAAATTCACAGGTAAAACTTGCTTGTTGGCACTTCATGCTTCCTTCCTACATTCTGAGCTGTATTGACACTGTATGACAGATAGTATGTTAAAAGGTAAAAGAAACTTTACAAACTAGTAGTTAACAGTTTTTGACAGTAAAACCCTAATATATAGAACAAAAAGACAAAATGAATGTGTTCTGAGTGTCAGAGTGTTCTAAAGCACAGTTAAAAAATATTGGTTACAGAAGATGTAACTCACGATGCAAACAAATGACCACAAGCCAGTGAAGTAAGGCAGATGAAATAAGTGAGGCAAGCCAACGGTAAGAGTAGGGCTGTGGTGAGGTATGTTGCTGAGTGTCCTGTCACAAGAGTATAGCCGGTTATTTTTAGCTCCAACCTGTTACTGATGTGCAGAAGCTGCCCCAGACTTGAAGAATTGATTTTTTTTTCTCAAATTTTATATGGAAATTGTTAAATATCTTAAATGTTGTCAGCTAATTTGGATGCTTTTAAGACACCACGTGGGCCAAACAAAATATATCTTAGGACATTACTATTAGTTTAAGATTTTAATAGTAGCCCAGCCTTCTCATTTTGAAGATAGGAAAACTTCACACACACCCTTCCCCCACCATGATTGGTTGCTTATCCAAGGGAGCATTTTTCCTAGTGCAGCTGTTCCAACTTGAATTTAAATTACTTTTAGTGCCAATTCATCTTTAGTTTTTCAGAGCTTTTCTAATGGTCTCATGAATTATGTGTAATTGCTTAATTAATTTGGAATACACTAAAGCAAATGTTTGCATGCCCTTATATATGCCAGTATTGTTTTATATTGTAAATAATGTAGATAGATGAATAAGACATAGTATATGATTGATAGGTTTTGACAGTCCAGTCCAGCAGCAGTTAGTATCCTAGTCCCCAGAATGTTGTTTCTAAATACCAGGACTCAGGAGAGATGGCAGATTCCAACACTGAAGCAGAAAATAAATAAGACAAGCCTAGAACATCTTGTAGTGCCTGAAAGCAAGGAAGCAATCGAAGAATACTAGGATCATAGTAAAATTACATAGGAGCCAATTTTGAAAGGGCTCCCATTGGCCGAAGATGGGACAATTTGAGCATCAAAAATAATGCCTACAAGCCAGGCACAGTGGCTTATGCCTGTAATCCTAGCTGCTCTGGAGGGTGAGACAGGAGGATTGGCTTAAGGCCAAGAGTTTGAGACCAGCCTGGGCAACATAGTGAGACCCCATCTCCACAAAAAATTTTTTAAAAAATTAGCTTGACCTCCCAAGTGCTGGGATTACAGACATGAGCCACCATGCCCAGGCTGCTTGATTTTAAGTGGCAAACTGGTATTATGTGCCTCCTGCAGTGATAAAATAGAAAGTACATGATACATCTTCCTATGAAATATGCTATCCCAAATCGTTTAACTTGCATCTATTAAGCTTCTAGATCTAGCTACCAGTTTAGAGGAAATACGAAAAATAGAGGGACAAGTTACAAGATCACATCAGGAAGCAATCAGCCCAATTCAGAATGGGGGAAGGAGATTCTACCAGATAAATGACCTTCTTCAGTAAATAAATGGCATAGAGGGGGAAAAAGTGAGGGGTATGATGGGAACTATTAAGGATTTGAGAAAGAAATGACCAAGTACAGTATGTGGGTCCTGGATTGAACAGATGAAACAGAGAGAGGTACTTCAAGGCAATCAAGGAAAATTAGGGTGTTAGATGACATTAAAGAGATGACATTAAAGAATTATTGTCATTTATTCTGGGGGTAATGGTATTGTGGTTTTTTTTGTTTGTTTTTTTTTTTTTTTTTTTTTTTTTTGGAGACAGAGTCTCACTGTGTTGCCTGGGCTAGAGTGCTGTGGCATCATCCTAGCTCACAGCAACCTCAAACTCCTGGGCTCAAGCGATCCTACTGCCTCAGCCTCCTAAGTAGCTGGGACTACAGGCATGCGCCACCATGCCCGGCTAGTTTTTTCTACATATTTTTAGTTGTCCACTTAATTTCTTTCTATTTTTAGTAGAGACGGGGTCTCGCTCTTGCTCAGGCTGGTTTCGAACTCCTGAGCTCAAACAATCCACCCGCCGTGGCCTCCCAGAGAGCTAGGATTACAGGCGTGAGCCACCACACCCGGCCTATATTATGGTTTTTTTAAAGTTCTTATCTCTTACAAATACATACATGAAGTACTTACATGAAATATTTATGAATTAAACTGTGTGTCTGAGGTTTGTTGTTTTTTTGTGGTTTTGTTTTTTTTTTTGTTGTCATTTTGTTTTTTAAGTGATCAGAGATGGGCATAGTGGCTCAAGCCTGTAATCCCAGCACTTTGGGAGGCCAAGGCAGGAGGATTACTTGAGCCCAGAGGTTTGAGACCAGCCTGGGCAACATAGCAAGACCCTATCTGTACAAAAACAAAAAAATTAACCTGACATGACATGTGTACCTGTAGTCAGTCCCAGATACTCAGGAGGCTGAGGTTGGAGGATCACTTGAGCCAAGAGTTGGAGGCTGCAGTGAGCTATGATGGTGCCACTGTACTCTAGCCTGGGCAACAGAGTGAGACCCTGTCTCTAAAAATGGTAAAATAAAATAGAAAAATAAAAGTAGTCGGGTAAAGACATAAAAAAGAAACACTAATAATTGTTGAAGCTATGATGAAGATAGGGAGATCATTTTCCTATTATCTTGCCACAGTAAAAAGCTTAAAGTGTAACTAAAATCCAATTTTTTATGCCTTATGTATATTCTACTTTGTTTTAGTGTCCTTTGTTAGATCATGTGTATATATAGTGAAACACTGTCATTTTAAGATACTGTTTGTCCTACCTGGTACTACCAGCATTTTATTTATTTTTTTATAATTGCATCATTGTTTGGGAACTCTTAAGTTCCTTTGTGATATTAAGTAAGCTTCATGAAATGTCTTCCAGGATCCATTTGTGGGGCTCTCAAGACCATCTGTTTTCCGTTGATTTCAATTTCTACGTTCCATTTAGTATATTATTTTACAGACATTTTTTTATTCATTGAAAGTAGTGAAGTACTCTGAGAAAATTCATTCATATATTTAGTGCAGTAACTCTTATCAAAAGAAGAAATATTACTGAACAATATATTCTGTGTCCATATCGTTAATCTCTTCTCTTTTATTTTTTAATTTAGTTCTATTGTTTCCACCCTGCTGGCTCTTATGGATGGATTGGACAGCAGAGGGGAAATTGTCGTAATTGGTGCTACCAACAGACTAGATTCTATAGACCCTGCTTTACGAAGGCCTGGTCGATTTGACAGAGAATTCCTTTTTAGCCTACCTGATAAAGATGTAAGAATTTAACATCACTCAAATTTTGAAAAAATACATTGCTTTTTATCATTAACAAGTTTTGGTACAGTAAAAATTTGGAGATTCCTGAGTTTTGTATCATGACTTTGTCAAGTGATAGTTGATAGTGAAAAACTCAAATGGAAACAGTTTTTTATCCTTTTCTTTAAATATAATAGTGCCTCCGTAGAGCTGAACATAGTGGCTCACACACATGGTCCCAGCTACTTGAGAGGCTGAGGCAGGAGAATTGCTTGATCATAGCAGTGAGCTATGATCATACCACTGCACTCCAGCCTGGGTGATAGAGTTGAGACCCTGTCTCTTAAAAAATACAATAATACCTCCCTGAAATTACTCTTAAATTTTTTTCAATTTAAACATAGCCTTTGGATGTTGTTAATTTTGCTTCAGATCATGTGGCTTAATGAGCCAATCCTTAAGCCAATTCATTAGCCTAGACTTTTTCATGAATTCCATCATATAATCCTACACAGTTTTTTTTAAGTCCACTTAATTTTTTTGAGAACCAAAGAAGAAAATATGGGTAGAGCTGTCTGTACTCTAAATGCACCAGAATGAACAACTACTTTAGTAGTTATTTAATTTCTTTCATTTACATTTATGATGAATATAACTTGAGCACTGTAAATGTAAATCTGTTTCATAATGAAACTAAGTTCCTTAAACTCTTACAAATAAATCTTTTGTCTCATTTTCACTGATTCATATATCTGTTTATATTAAGTATTGGTTACTTCAAAATTTTAGATAATCAAGGGTATTTTAAATTGAAATTATTCTAATCTGAATAACACTTTGATTATAGTTGTAAAAAATTAAATTGTTTTTATTCATAGGCTCGAAAAGAGATTCTAAAGATTCACACAAGGGATTGGGATCCCAAACCACTGGACATATTTTTAGAAGAACTAGCAGAAAACTGTGTTGGTAAACATTGTTTTAAGCAATTAAAAAAAATATTCCATTTATTTCAAAGATGGAACAAGTTGCAGGTTATGTTTAAAGAAATTCAAGACTACATTTGTTTCTCATCTCTTATTTATGGCATTTTCTTCTCATAAAGTTCTGGATATTAAACAGATATATTTGGCAAATTGGCCATTGTGGGAATTTAAGACCAAAGTAGACAATCATAATTATCCTTTACTGACCATTTACATTTTTCTAGTTATCCTGTTAAACATTATTTCATGTAATTCCCACATTTGTGCTGTGAAGTAGGTAGCATTATCTCCATTTTACAGATGAAGAAATGGGTGAAGAGTATAAGTGAATCTCCAAAGATCACAGTTTGTAAATGACAAACTGAAATTTGAACCTGGTCTGTGTGATTTTAAAACTCCTGCTCTTAACCCCTGTGATATACTTAGTGCTTGCATATTTCACTCACCAAAGTTGATTGATTTGTTGATGGTTATTACCACCATATAAGTTAACTAGGTAAAAGAGATTTTGGTCTTACTACTCTTAAGTATTTTGCTACTAAATGCTAAGCTGATTTTTAATTTTCTTTTAATCATGATCATGCTAATAGGGTTTTGTGTTTTGTTTGGCTGCCCTCCTGCCCTTCGTCGCTGTTTTGGATAGGATACTGTGGAGCAGATATTAAGTCAATATGTGCTGAAGCTGCTTTATGTGCTCTACGTCGACGCTACCCACAGATCTATACCACTAGTGAGAAACTACAGTTGGATCTCTCTTCAATTAATATCTCAGCTAAAGATTTTGAGGTGGCTATGCAAAAGATGATACCAGCTTCCCAAAGAGCTGTGACATCACCTGGGCAGGCACTGTCCAGCATTGTGAAACCACTTCTGCAAAGCACTGTTCACAAGATCTTAGAAGCCCTGCAAAGAGTATTTCCACATGCAGAAATCAGAACAAATAAAGCACTGGACTCAGGTATAAAACTTGATTGACCATTTAAAGTTAGTTTTCATAATCAGTAAAGCAAACCATGTTTTATACATCCCAGAAATATTTCTTTATGTAAAAAAAAAAAAAGTCTCTTGCAAAGAATTTGGTTGTACTTTACCTGTGATATTTGAAGGAAATTTACTTCATGGATTACCCTTAACTTAATCTGTTTTAAATTTGGAATGCATTTTTATATTTATTTGTTAAGTCATATCTGTGCAAATATTTTTGACTCTTTGAAAAAATTTCATTGAAGTATGCTGACTTGCTAACTGAAGTATTACATAAAGGTTTGCTTTGCAATTCAGAAAAGTTACTAATGTGCCATGTTTTTGTTTTATAGGTATTTCTTATCCTCTGCTAGAAAGTGACTTGGCATACAGTGACGATGATGTTCCATCAGTATATGAAAATGGACTTTCTGAGAAATCTCTTAAGACAAAAGAAAATTTTAATTTTCTTCATTTGAATAGGTATATTTTCCTTGCAAGTGAATTCTTCTTTTTTTCGTTATTTTTTTATCTCTTTTTTTCTTTTTTTTTTTGTTGGTCTGCTTTTTAAGTTAAAATATCAGAAATTTTTTTTACTATAGTGACAACTGTTGTCATACACTATATAAAAGTATTCCTAAAAATCTATGGGGGTCAGTTGTTTCCACAAACTATGAACCTTGTTGTGATTGGCTGGTCTTATGGGCAAGAACTTTGACTTACGAAAGTTCATAATTGGTAATTTGGGGGAAGCATTTAAACTTTTTTCTAAAACATAGCTTTTTAATCATTTCTTTCAGAAATGCTTGTTACCAACCTATGTCTTTTCGACCAAGAATATTGATAGTGGGAGAACCAGGATTTGGACAGGGTTCTCACTTGGCACCAGCTGTCATTCATGCTTTGGAAAAATTTACTGTGTATACATTAGACATTCCTGTTCTTTTTGGAGTTAGTGCTATGTCCCCTGAAGAAACATGTGCCCAGGTAATTTGTTGTTATTCAAATAAGCTATAAGACAAAGCAGTCATCCAGAGATAAGCTAGAATTGCCTCAATCTTTTTGTCTTGTTTTTGTCTGATTTTGAACTTCAGATTTACAAAATAGAACTGTGCATAATTGCTTAGTCATTAAAAGATACGGGTTTAAATCCCAGATCTACCATTTAATATCTGTGTGACCTTAGGAAAGTTACCAAATCTCTGTGTCATTTTCCCTATTTGCGAAATGTAGTAATAATGGTTCTTAACCTCACACAGCTGTTGTGAGAATTAAATAAGTATTTAAAACAGTGACTGTTCCTTATGCGTACTCAGATATTCTGCAGTTTCTGTTTGCTATTTTTATTATAAATTTGTTAATATTAAAATATTAATATATATATTTTTGTTTTATCTTGGTTATCACAACAGAAAAGTCTGCTAGATTTTTCTTTTTCCTTTTTTTTCAAGTCTTCTAGATTTCTTGAGCTGTTTTTTGGTTGCTTAAAGCAATTATGTTTTCCAAAATATGCAACTTTTACAAAACACTTAAAAACAAGGTTATGGGATTGTATGGGGAAACATTTTTAAAACTTTAGGGTTTTGTGAGATGATTTTGTGAGATTAAACATTGTTTCAGACTAATAGACCTAGCTTTACTAATGCGCTGACTCTAACTGAATATGATTTTTCTTCCCTTTCCTAGATGATTCGTGAAGCTAAGAGAACAGCACCAAGCATAGTGTATGTTCCTCATATCCACTTGTGGTGGGAAATAGTTGCACCAACACTCAAAGCCACATTTACCACATTATTACAGAATATTCCATCATTTGCTCCAGTTTTACTACTTGCAACTTCTGACAAACCCCATTCTGCTCTTCCAGAAGAGGTAATTTATACTTTAAAAAGAGAGTTGTTTGTACCAAAGTAATGATGACTTATTGTAAACTGCAGAAGTAAATAAAATAAGGAAAAGTTTTCTTATTAAAGATACCATTGTTAACTACTTAGTATATGTACTCATTGGGTAAGATAGCATGTGTATATATACAGTAAGGATACATTGTGAATATTTTGTCTTACAAAAATGAGATAATATGCATACTGTTCTGCAATTTGCTTTCTTCACTTATCAGTATATCTTATGTATTTGTTAGTACTGAAGTCTCCTTTCTTTTAAGAGTATATGACTTTTTCCATTGTCTTGAGGTACCATAATTTATCCAAATCCCCCTTAAAAGATTTTTTGGTTGTTTTTCAGTTTTTTTCTATTGAACTGCTACAGTGAGCATCCTTGTGTTTTAATTTGTATGAGCATTACTATGTGGATTTTTCTAGCATCGATTCATAGAAGTGGAATAGCTGTATCTGAGTCAGGGAGTATAATTACAATTTTTAACAGTACCAAATTACTCTCTTTGAAGTTTATGCCAATTTAGACAACTACCAATAGTGAAGAAAAATTATGTTTCTTCTGCCTGAAATATTATTCTTACATACTTGCCTTTCATGATCATTTATTTCCCTCAGATCTCTGCCCGAATATCACCTCAGGAAGGTCTTCCTTGATCAGAGTTTCTCAGTGACAGCAATAGCTCCTCCACCCATCACTCTCTTTTCCCTTTCCGTGCTTTATTTTTATCACTACCTGCCATTAAATATTAATTTATTTAACTCTGCCTCCCCTATCAGAATGTGTAGTACATGAAATCAGGGACTTTTTCCCCCCCGCCTCCATGTCCACAGAGCACATAATATGCATATTGTAGGCTTCTACCTATTTTCTTTTAATGAATAAATTTCATATGTATTTTTTTCCTATACCTTTGACAAAATTAGTTTTACTGTTTTTAGAACATTGCTAGGAAAATAAAGTCAAATACTTACTAAAGAAATATTTATTGAGTACTTACTCTGCCAGGCATGGTTCTAGACACTACGAATATAACAGTGAAAAAGATAAAAATTTATATCCTCCTTATATATAGGGCTAACAGTTGAGGGGGAGAAAAGGCATAAACAGATAAATTCTTAAAATATGTAATAGTAACTATTGTCATGGAGAAAATTTTAGGTAAGGAGTGCCAAAAGAGTGTGGGTAGTGTCACAATGTTAAATAAAGGGCTCAGTGAGAAGATGACATTTGAATGAAGACCTGAGAAAGATAAGGTAGTAAACCATTTGAGTATCTGAGGAACAAAAGATCCTGGCAGAGGAAAAAGCAAATACAGGGGCCCTGAGGCTGAACTGTGTCTGGCATGTTAGAAAAATAGTAAGAAGGCCAGGGTGATAGAGCAGAGTGAATGAGGGGCAGTGTGCAGGAAATGAGGTCAAGGAGTTGTCAGCAGACCAGATTATGTTCCTGGCGGCTCTGTTTTAGGAATTGATGATGAAACCCGAAAGCTGAATAAGCTAGGAAATGAATATTAAATATATGTTATAGACTTTTGGCGGGGGGCGGCAAGAAGGGTCTTTAAAGGTTTGTAGTTTAATTAATTATCTAGTTTTAGTTTTAATTTTTTAGAGACAAAGCCTCACTCTATTGCCCAGGCTGGAGTGCAGTGAATTGATCATAGCTCACTGTACTTTCAAATTCCTGGGCTCAAGCAATCCTCCCATCTCAGCCTCCCAAAGTGCTGGGATTATAGGTGTTAGCCACCACACTGGCCGATTATTTAGTTTTAGACTCTCCTTTACAGTCTCTCCTTCATATAGATATGCCATCTATGTTGAAACACCTTCTGTGCAGTTCTCTTTGTTAGCTCTGACTAACGAAATCCAACTTATTTTGGGAAGCTCCCTTCCCCTTCCCCTTCCTTTTTCCTCTCCTCTCCTCTTTCTTTCTTTCTTTCTTAATTTTTTTTTTTTTTTTTTTTTTGGTTAGGGAAGAAAAGGGGTAGAGGGAGGAGGAGAGGTGGAAAAAAACGGGAAGCTTCCATTTCTTAATCGCCATTTGTTTCCCAGATTACATATAGAACCCATCAAATGTGTCTTCATCATGACAGCCCTTTGTATATTTGAATGCTCTTTTACATTCATTTCTGTCTCTCCACTCGGAACTAGGCTTCTTCACCCTAAACATGAGATGGTATGTTCATTGGGGTTATTAATAAAATAGAAGTTTATTTCTACTCACTTAACAGTACTAGGCTTATGACTAGATTGACAGGTCTGCCTTTTGCTATGCAGTCGTTCAGACATTCAGGCTGAGAGACCCTTTCTCATTTTCATCATGTCACTGTCCAGGTTGCTTTTATTATAGCCAGCTGAAAGGACTTGTTCTCGTGTGTGCCTGACCTGGAAGTAGTGTATATCATTTCCTCTCACATTTTGTTAGCTAAACCTTCATCACGTAGCCACACCTCACTGCAAGGCAGGCTAGGAAATATGACATAGCAGTACGCTCAAAGGAAGAGTACATGGATTATAGTATTAGGAAGGTCTGCTACACATCACACCTAGTTGTAGTTTGTTCAAAATTCAAGTCAGTCTCCTGAATGTCTGTCTTTTTTGAAAGGCTGTGGCCAGAATGAGTGAGTTACTCTAGTGGTGTTCTGATTAACACAGAATAAAGAAGGATTGCAGGCCGGGCGCGGTGGCTCACACCTGTAATCCTAGCACTCTGGGAGGCCTAAGTGGGCGGATTGTTTGAGCTCAGAAGTTCGAAACCAGCCTGAGCAAGAGCGAGACCCCATCTCTACTAAAAATAGAAAGAAATTAATTGGACAACTAAAAATATACAGAAAAAATTAGGCAGGCATGGTGGTGCATGCCTGTAGTCCCAGCTACTCGGGAGGCTGAGCAGGAGGATTGCTTGAGCCCAGGAGTTTGAGGTTGCTGTGAGCTAGGCTGATGCCACGGCACTCTAGCCTGGACAAAAGAGTGAGACTCTGTCTCAAAAAAAAAAAAAAAGGATTGCAATTTAATAGCCATATTATACCATTAGCTTATTATATTCACTGTCAATTAAAACTTTATTAATCATTTTGAGGTTTGAAATAAAGTGAGTTTATACTCTTGTTGACAAGACAAACTAGCTAAACTTTCTTTTTACGGGTGTAGAGAGGTTGAAAATGTAATTGGTTTAATCTGGGTAAACTTTATCGAGAATTTGGGAATGCTGCACTAAAAGATCTTTTCTTAAAGGATACCTTCTCTAACTTTTTTCTTAGGATAGTACCTAAGCATGTAATTGTAAACTGGATAAAGTATCCCAATATGACACTGTATAGTAGGGAGTGGAGGGAGGATGAGGGGCCAAAGGCTAGGAATTGCTCATTTTTATAAATGAACAATCTAGTCCATATGGATGCAAATAAGTGAGTCCACTTTGAGCCTAGTCCACTTTGAACCCTGTGTAGTTTATAGTGATTCAGTGATACAATTGATATAGAATCGGACTATAATATATGAGGAATACTATATGATCCATTATTAGCTACATTAAACTTTATCCATCTCAAAACTACAGTCAGAAAATGGTTGTATATATGTTTGAGCACTAGTAGACCCTAACAACTCAGACCAGTATGGAAAGATGAGAAAGAATGACATTAGTAGATTAGAAATTTTCATGAATCCATGAAAAACAAAGTAGTGGGGATTAGATTGATGAAGGTAACCACAATTCAAAGTACATGCATGAAAGGACTGCTTTGAAAGGTAGAAGTAGTTTCTAGCTCTGGGTTAGTGCTAGGAAGGAGAAAAGAAAAAACATTACTAGCAAAGACAATCAAATTGCTTCTACCTTCTCATTGGCAACACTGGCTACTCAGGAGACAGTGGAGCAGTATTTTCAAAGTTCTGAAGAAAAATAATTTTGACCCGTAATTTTCTATCTAACCAAGTTAGTATTTGAGTGAGAGAGCAAAATGAAGATATTTTTGAACATGGAATGTCTAAGAAACTATTACATGTAAACCCCCGACTGAAAGAATTACTAAATGATTATTTTTCCTTTTGGATTTTTTATTTTGTAGTAGTGGCATATAAGAAGCAGTGATCAAAGAAAACAGTAAAACTTATAAAATTGTGATAGAAAAATATTTTTTAAAGAGATGTAAAATTAAATCTAAGTTGGTCTAAATTTGAAGTAGCAGGAAGGGCATAGTGAAGGAGAAGGGGAAAGTGAAAGCATGTTGAGGCTTTTATCTGATATGTAGATACTGATTAACCTTAGACTTTGGTAGAAAAAGAAGCTTAAATATATTAAAACTTACAAGACTAAAAGAATAGAAATCTGACATACAACTTCCAGGCCACAAGAAAGGGAGAAAGGGTACAAATTCCCATAAAAATTCCCTCCAAATTTAAGTGGATTCTAAAATTTAATGTAGGAGAAAAAAGTGCTTGAATTTCTAAGAAAAGTTTGAAAAAGCAACGAGGTGGTTCTTGGCCCACCAAATATTAAAGCATATGTACCACAAAGCTATTGTAATTAAAGCTGTGGAATTCGAGCCAGGATGAATAAATTAATAGAATGCAGTGCATTATTAGGCCTTTGTAGATACAGTAATTTATTAAATGAATTCGCACAAATAAAAGATTTATTTCATGAACAATATTAGAATAATAGGAACATTTTTATAAAAAGTATTACAGAAAAACATTTTCATAATTGTCTTTGTTCATTTATACTGCTATAACAAAGTACCTGAGGCTGGGTAATTTGTAAATAACAAAAATTTATTCCTCACAGTCTGGAGGCTAGGAAGTCAAAGATCAAGGAACTAGCAGGTTCAGTGTCTGGTGAGAACTATTCTCTCCTAAGACGGCACTATATTGCTGTGTCCTTACATGGCAGAAGGGGACGAAGGCTGTCCTCAAATGGCAGAAGATGAAAGGGCAAAAAGCAGCCTAATTAGTTCCCTTTTATAAGACACTAATACTATCCATAAGGGCAGAGCCTTCATGGCCTAATCACCTCT